CCGGCCCTTTTTAGATTCTAAAATCTATCAATCCAGAGTTTTAAATCATTTTTAGGATCTTGTAGCCCTAAAATTTGTAAACACAGTCGTTGCAAGATGGATCAATTAACTTCGGACTTTAGTGAGATAAAATACGAAAGAAAATGTGAAAAATAATCAACCCTTTTTTCCTGGCTCGGTGAGGTTTATAGAAAACAATTTTCATGTTTGAGTTTCACCTCTCTTCAAAAACTAACACAGAAAAAACCCAGTTTCTCTCTATTTGAAAGTTTTCATGATTCTATTATCATCATCATCATTATTATTATAATTCTTATCATCATTGTCATTACTATTATTAGAACTATTAAAAATTAAACAAAGATATCTATGTTTCACATAATTGTTGAACGTCTAGGCTCGGAGGACAGATAACAATAAGACCTAAATTTTGTCTCTCAGGGAGTCGATCATAAAATGGGTTACCCCAGCATCGCATACCTTGTCTTTGTCGTCGTCATTTTACCCTGGGTTGAAGGCCAGTTTCCCAGAGTCTGTACTGACCGGGACAGCCTGAGAGACAAGACATGTTGTCCCGTCCCCAAAGGCTTCACCACACTATGTGGCTGCGATGGAGACAGAGGAAAGTGCCAGGAAGTGACCATTCGTGATTGGACATTCAAGTACAGCCATTACCGACCGTTCCAGATGGAGGACGAGAGACACAACTGGCCGCGTGCTCTTTACAATAAAGTCTGCATATCCAATGCAAACTATGCAGGTTACGATTGCAGCAAATGCGCATTTGGTTACTATGGCAAGAACTGCACGCAGAAGAAAAATTTGATACGAAGAAATTTTCTGAACCTAACAGCCGAGGAGAAAGATCGATTCATGAGATACGTTAACATGTCCAAGCACTATGTAAGTGACTTCGTGGTTACGTCTACTTCTTACAAGAAGATAAACAAAACCGTTATGGAGGGTGGCGACCCAAAGTCCTACTTTTATGATGTCACTAACTATGACCTGTTCACGTGGATGCATTACTATGCGGCAAGTGACACCATTTTACCTCATGATGTCACTGAATCTGATATCGACTTCGCACACGATGGTCAGGGATTTCCCACATGGCATCGGTTGTACATGTTGGCATGGGAGAGAACCTTGCAGGAAATTGGAGGAGATGAAGAATTTGCCCTTCCTTTCTGGGACTGGACTGGGAATCCCACTCAATGCGACCCTACAATTTGCTCTGAAGAGCTCCTTGGTGTAACAAACCAAACTACTGGCATCGTGAGGGACAAATACTTGGATAACTGGTACGTCCTTTGCACCAGCGAACAAACCAATGCCCTAAAAAAGCCGTGTTACCCTAACATAACAAGAGCTGGATTGAAACGGGACACAGATGATGAGAAGGAGAAGAAAGTGAAGGAACAAGGATATACTATGACATTTCCAACACAAACAGAAGTTAACTTTGCGCTCCGTTTTGAAACCTTCGACTTCCCACCCTACAATAAAGAGTCTAGCTGCAATTTTAAAAACATCTTAGAGGGTTATGTTAGCACCAAAACTGGTTTTCGCCTTCCTAACGTCCACGGCTTGCACAACCAGGTCCACATAGTTGTTGGAGGAGAAATGGGGGACGTACCTTCAGCATCAAACGACCCGATCTTTCTTCTTCATCACGCGTTTGTGGATCGTATTTATGAAAAATGGTTGCGGAAGTTTAATAAGGATGCGAATGTGCTATCTACTTACGATGCACCCATTGGTCACAACAGAGATGACGTCATTGTGCCTTTGTTTCCGGTTTACACTCACCAACAGATGTTCAAGAAATCTTTCGAGTTCGGTTATGATTACCAAGACGTCGATGAAAAAGGTGAGAATGGATATTTTGCTTTCCATTGTATGTTGGTGTCCGTTTTGAATTGGTTAAATAGATTCGTAAAACCAGCCGGCAAAATTGTTGTTTCACCGCGGGGGATTGGGTGCGCAACAGGACACTTTGCATGAGCGTAGCTGGCAGGGGTCTAAAGGTGCAGGTACACTTCCCCACCCCCACCCCCTCCCCCTTTATTTAGGAGAAGTGAATACCATATTTCCTCGAACAAACGCCCGAGCGCTCATAAAATTGTGGCTGAAAGGGGGGGGGGGGGTTAGGGGCGCTTATTGGTAGGAGGGCGCCTTACCGAGTAGGCGTTAGTTGAGTTAGTGCACTGATAGGACGGAAAAGTCAAAACCACAGGTAAAATACATAAGGGAATTCTACAAGCGCATGAAGACTGAAATATCTGGAACGGAAAAGAAACTCGGGAACTGAAGCTCAAAAGGTTTTGGATAAAGTGGCAATAGAAAAACGTTTTCGTTCGGTTACTTCAATTTATGCTAAGGGGTAGGCGCTCATTCAAGGAAATACGGAACTTATAATCATTTAAAAATTCCATTAATTCGTGGGTGTTTTTCACTTCCCCTAATGTTGGTATTTTAAATATCACAATAAATTGAAAGTTTCAGTGCTCTTAAACAAGCATTTCGTTTTTTTCTCTGGTAAAAGTTATGGCAAATTTTGTTTTTGCCTCCTAGTCCAATTGTAGGAACACGTCTTGGAGAGAGAACTCTGAGGAGTGTGTTTACCCATTCACTTAATTCCAACTCCCCCGCTTTCCACCATTCCTCGTCTCTCCTCTCATACCCTGTGTAGTATGTCCGCTATCACTCTTGATACCCAAAATTCACAAGAAAGTATCTTTGAATAGGCAGGTCTCCTGATGACGAGAAAGAAGATGAATCAAAGTATTTGGGAGATTGTCCACAGCCTGACTGTTACCCTAACCTTCCTAAATCTGGAGCGCCTGGAAAGCTAATGTGTTGGTGGCTGATGTCAGTCATGTTAGTATGGCAGCTATTGTTGGCTGATTGAAGACAGAAAGTGGAGAGAATTAGCCTGCTTTAGGCTCTTTAGGAAGTGGAGATGCGTGAAATAGAGGTGTGTGTATGTGGGGGGGGGGGGGGGGGGGGGGGGGGGGTGAACCAGGAAGCAAGCAACACAGCGGTCAAACGTCGGGCGTGCGCGAGGGGATCAATTCTGGCAGGCCCGTCACCATTTTCCTGCGGAAAATTTCATAGAAAAACATGAAAAACAACCCCTGTCTCGAAAAATAAGCGAAAGAAAATTGAAACGTGCATCGTTATATGTAGAAGGAATAAAAGAAGGGAAAGAGAAAACTCGACAGTTTTCGAACACGAAGCTTATTCAAGTACGGGTATCCTTTTGATTGACCTTTCCGTTTCAATTCTTGACAAAAACAAAGACGATTGCAAAAAAACCTCATTCACTTGTATGTTAGGCTGTGTGTAACTCGTTTATGACAACACTCCACTTAGTAATTACAACCTGCACACATGTACAAACGTTGAACCGCTGTGTTGAAGCAAGCAAGCCGCGGCGGTTGCGGTTACAAGGGAGACGTCTGCAGATTACGTCCGCTTGTCTGCAAGTTAACGCGCGCGCCATTTTTCGCGTGTCTTCGCTGATTGAGAGGATGGAGCAGGCTAAGAGAGAAGAAGGAGAAGGAGGAAAGAGCAGAGTAAAAGTGGTAGAGTCGTAGAATAGAGCACAGTACAGTAATGTAAAGTAGTATGAAGTATATGAGTATACCCAATATAAGAGAGAAGAGTTAATTTTTTAGGAGTGTAGCTGGGCTGAGCTTAGTAAAGAAGTATTAAGAACATTACTGAAACGTGTGATTCTTATGTGGAGTAAAGTAACCTTAAAATATAACAACACAAAAATTCATCAAAGCCTTCAAGAAGACGAAGGTCTTCTTTTTTATATATGAAAAAGCACGTTTATAAACAACACATCTCGATATTTGAAGTCTATTTGTTGGTTAAATGCGACCACGAGTAAACTTTGTTTATTATTTGCTAAACTGCGTGCCTCACGCACGACGCGGGTGGGGTGGGAAGGCGGCATTTACGTCAGCACGTATTTTAAGATATCAAGATCTGGGTGGGAAATCCTGCCGATCGCACTTTGCCCTTACATCAACTTTGCCCTTTTCTTCACTTCGTGCATTGGCCACGCAAGCTAATTCTTCACCAGCCGTTTATTTTGTATCTAATCTACCCCCTACCCCCCTTCCCTTCGGCCAACCAGCCAACCACTCCACACTTCGGACAAAAATTCGCTTCCAAGATGTTGTGACCTTCTTCTCCATGGCGCTGTTAACAGTGTCGCTGCCTTATAGGGTTGGCATGACTGTTATGGGTGCTATCCAGAAAAGCGGCACTGAGAATCCCTTCAAGTAAGTGCTTAAAAAGGTACTGAACAGCTTTTGGTGACCAACCATTAAAATAGCAGAGCTGTTGTAGTGTTCTTCTCAACTTTAAAGGGCATGTAAACCCAAAAATACATATTTTTCGTATACTATGTAAAAAGT